CATCTTTGAAGCTACAGTAGTGGTGAGCACGGCTGTGAGCAGGGGGATTCCTTGCACTTTTATCCTGACGGGCACAAGCTCACCCAGATCCATTGCACGCCCATCGCAGGCCTTCCACAGCTCCGCCTGGGCGCCACTCCCCACGCAAGAAGCATTCAGCTGGGTGAGGTATGTCACTGGCTGGGCGCTGGTGACCTCCCCAAAAGCACGCAACACATCCCGAGTCACAGAACCAATTACCAATATACCGCTTGCTATGCATCTTTCCATTAAGTTTTCACACACGTTTCCTTTGACCAAAACCAAGTCTACTTCAAAGCTTATCAGAATATCTAACATACTGCTCAGCCACAAGTCTCCTGCTCCACCTCCCGGTAGGGCAGGATGCTCCAATATGGTCCTCACATTACGTGGTCTGTTAAAACCTAAGTGACGATATTGTTCAGTTAGGTCACCATCCATTAGCAGAAGCCGAAGGGGTTTGTCTTGAAAGTATTTGATAACTGTGGCTTGTTCCGGTGATAGTAATGTGACAAAGCCTGGGGAGACACAAGAATAGCTTTCAGGCAGGCCCAATAAACAGCACGTCACAATTTCTGCAATATTAAAGGGGGAAGAGCCACTGCATTCTGCTCTCTCTTGTTGATACGCAACAATGCTTTGTAGCAGTTTCATGCTAGTCTGATTTCCACGGCTCAGAGTCATTGCCAGGTGTCCTAAACCATAACATTCACATGGATCTGCTGAGTGTCCTGAAAGGTACCCCTGAAAATTGCCTTCCTGACTTGAAAAATGGCTTTTTCCAAGAGTGCTGAAGTATCTGCTATGGGTTAACTTTTGTTTGTTCCAGCTGGATGCGATAACACCACTTCCAGAAATCACAGATGTACTTTTGTCACCCACTGGTTTGACAAGAGAAGCTATTGAACCAAAGCCGGCCAAAGGTGAAACCACACACTTGTTAAAATTACAATCATCTTCCTGATGAGAACAAAGACTTCTTGGAATTACTTCTTCTGGTGCAGAAATATCTTTCTGAAAATACAGGAAATTCTGAGGGTTTAGAAGACGGTCACGTCCAATTTGGCAAGTTTTGCTCTTAAAAGCGTTTGGCCTAACACTGCGAGAACACAGCTCTTTATTTACGTCATGTATTGGTATTTGAAGACACTGGACTCTCTCACAGCAAGAGTTCAACCCCTCAGACATCACAGATACTATTGCAGAAACAGGAACATTCTGCTGGAGGCACTCCAGAACAGCATTGCTCCATGCACCAATGAGAAACAACAGGGTACTCATCCCAGTCTTAAACTCCTTGTTTTGTGCCTGAATGGTTTCATTCAGAAGCTGTCCGGCAGCACTAGTTAAATCCAAACTTTCAATCAGTCTAACAGCAGAACAAATCAGTGTGCTTTGGTTGGTGCTTTCATCCACAATGAATTTACATGATTTCATTGGCCCCAATAATCTTCTGCCCGCTAACGCTAAGGATGAGAGCTGCTGAAGTCCAATATGTCGTCTTGCATTCACATCCCTGAAAGCCATGGGCAGCAGGCAGCATCTGTGAACAGAACACAAACTTATTGCCCCATCCTCACAGCACTACAGAGCATACATCACCAAAACATTAAATTAACAGGCTAATGTTGAACACAGCTCTCCTATGAAGCTGTCTGTACAAAACAGTTCTTCAATCTGTGCACTTATTATGAGATATCTATGCACGTAGTTGCTGAAATGGTGCATTGCTAAAACACCATGGAATTTTTTCTTGCTGGCAGATAATACAGTGCTGTTAATTCCAGTGGTTTCCTAACGTGAAGCCATACAGATGCTGTAGAACTTCCATTGCTCTCCTGACCGGCTTATCTGGAATTTCAGTTATTTGCCTTACTTAGAGCAAAAGTTCCTTAGAGCAGAATGGACAATTATGTGCAAAAGCAAAGTGCTCTGTACAGATCCATCTTAGTACCAATAGTTACGCCACTAACTTTAACCTTCAAATCTGGGAAAACATAATCAAACTTATTTTATTCCAGTTCTATGTATTCCATTTGGCACACATCAATACTTCATTCCATGTGCACGAAAACGAATGCCACTTCTTTATACCTCATAAAGCAAACTGTCAAGACTTTAAAGTTTTCATCTACTACTCAGTTTTAACATGCCAAAAATTAGTCTTCTTTCGCTCGAAATCCCTTCCACACCACACTCCTGTGGCAGACCACATGGATTAAACTAAAGCTTCCTTTTTTATTTTCTTTTTTTTAAATTACAAAGTATCCACACCAAGAATTAAGAAGCCATAGCCATATACTTTTTATGCTTAAATTCAAATAATTTATTTCGTCTCCCTAAAGGTCAATTTGCATAGCTGTTCCAAATCCAAAAACCTCTTTTTCCACCCCACTCAATGAAAGTCCATCTGAATATTAACTCAAATGAAGACAAAGTGAGAATTTAAGAAGCAGAGCAGGCAGTCTGAAATACCCTTTATATGTTGACAGACCTAAAGTTCTGGTCTAGCCCAAACTGACAAAAGAATTTCCCTTCAGTTAATATTAGTCTTCTTTCGCTCGAAATCCCTTCCACACCACATGGATTAAACTAAAGCTTCCTTTTTTATTTTCTTTTTTTTTAATTAAAAAGTATCCACACCAAGAATTAAGAAGCCATAGCCATATACCTTTTATGCTTAAATTCAAATAATTTATTTCGTCTCCCTAAAGGTCAATTTGCATAGCTGTTCCAAATCCAAAAACCTCTTTTTCCACCCCACTCAATGAAAGTCCATCTGAATATTAACTCAAATGAAGACAAAGTGAGAATTTAAGAAGCAGAGCAGGCAGTCTGAAATACCCTTTATATGTTGACAGACCTAAAGTTCTGGTCTAGCCCAAACTGACAAAAGAATTTCCCTTCAGTTAATAGATACATCTTGAAGCACCAAAAGAATCATTAACCAAGAAATTATTTTAGTCTACAGTTATCCATAATCAGTTTAAGAAAGGACTTTTAGATAAGCAAGTACCTTTGACTTTAAAACTGTACTGGGAGTGTGCATCTGAAAACCTCCATCCAACCTGCTTAAGGGTTTTTCTAGAAATTTTTCTTAGTAGTTTCTAGTGATGATGGCCTAGCCATGTTATGTATCCATATCAGTACTTACAGTAGTAATAATAAAAAAAAACCTCTTTTTTCTTAACTGGAATCCTTAGCTTAACATCACAGGTAGTTTGTTTTGAAACAAACAAACAAACAGAAGTGATTAAATAATAATCAGCCTCTTTTTTCTTAACTGGAATCCTTAGCTTAATATCACAGGTAGTTTGTTTCGAAACAAACAAACAGAAGTGATTAAATAATAATCATTGGATCATGGAATCCAGTATGAAACATGTTTCCCCCACTCCCCCCAAAACTCATTCAATCTGACTTATCTTTACGATTTACTAAGACAGCAATTTTGATGTTGTGGGGTAGGGGTGTGGATGGAGTTTTGTTTGTTTTTCACACACACACACACACACACAGTTTCTACATTGTCACTTCTCAAACTGCTCTTGTTTTGATAGAAAGAACAAATAACCAACTTGTGGTTCTCTTAATAAAATTTAGGAAAGAGGTAAATTAGCTATGCTGAAAGGCTAAGTCACTACCTAGGTCCTAGGCATGGAGTTCTGGCCATGCTGCTGTTTGGATGGGAGACAACTATGAAAGGACTGGTGGGAAAGGGGTTTCCATTTGCCAGTACAGTGAACTTCTTACTCCCAAGTCACTGCCAAATGAGAGCTGAGCTCAGCAGTATGAGCCACTGTCTTACTAGAATGGCGTCTTGATTTCAACTTGGTGAAACCAAGTCTGGTTATGAGACAGATTAATTAGAGTTAGTGCAGAACCTTCTGTCAAGTCAATGTGTTTCCACCAAATCTCAATGCAGCCAACTACAAGTTGCTTAGCTAAAATCTTCTCTGAAATTTAAGTTGAAAAATTCACCCCTTACTTTCAGCTTAAACTTGTACTTTAAAACCATACCTTCATTTTCGACACCAGCCTGTACTCCTGCAGATCCATAAACTTTAATCAAATGGACCCAGGGCCTGGCTGCAAAACCAGATGAATGGAGGGCATATACTTACAGCAAGGGGTTTTATTTCATTACTGGCATAACCTCTAGCAGGTGTGATTTATGGTTTTGCAATAATTCCCCCACCCCACTTTGGTTTATGCATGTTATTTCAGCAAGAACATCACACTATCCTATGCTGTAGGAACCAATATACAACAGACCCAGAATTCAACTTTACACACCCCTATACCCTGGGCTCTTACGTCTTTTTCCATCCAGTCTGAGGTGGAAAAGATAGAGGATCGAGTGGAATTACATTTCAGAGTCAAACACGAGTGAGGTCAGCAAAGGGTAGGAGGCATCACAGAGACTGAATGAACAAACCATAGTGAAGGGCAGCCATGCACGAGACACCAGCTACAGACAGCTTCCGCTGAGCTAACTCGCATGCTGACGTACTGCTGCCTGCCTCATCACCTGTCTCTGCAAGCAAAATAAAACTCGACCTTAGGTTCAGTTGATGTTGACACACACACAGGTTTTTGGGGTCTCAAGTGAAGAACTCCAGTATACAAGAGGTATGCCAAATGCTTATTGCTTGCTTTGTCTTTCAGCACCTCAACCATTAAGACTAAATTAATACAACAAAATTTTAGATTGGTTTTCAATATTAATTTATTTCTGCCAAATGTTAGGGGGAAAAAAAGAAAACAACTTGCATGCATACATATGCACATGCTCTCTTGTGCCAGCACTGGTGCCCGAAGAACGGGAAATTAGTAGAAAATGCCCTGCTTGCAACTAAACCACCCAGGGTCCAGGTAACCGTCGCGACTTACCGGGTCTGCCCAAGAGCCAGCACTGTCCCTAGTAACGGGGGAAGAGAAAGGGCTTCCTAGGTTAGTGCGGCCGAACCCAAACGCCCATGGTGAACCAGCCCCGCGCCGCGGGCAGCCTGCGAGCTGAAAGCAGCCGGCACACAAGCGGGGAGACAGAGGGCACCTCGGCAGGCGCCGAGGCCGCTCC